TATTAACCACCTTGTATCTGGAGAATGTTCCTGTCTGTAATGACCTTGTGGGAACTTGGGGCTTATAACTCAGAAGTGTAGTCTTACTCTCTAATTCAACCTGAATTTTGCTAATTAAGTTTTCATGGTCAATTCATTTCTATGGTTAACAAGCTTGAAAGTATTTCCTATATGTTTTGTAAATTGCTTACAGTAGCTAATCTACAAGGATCTTACAAATTTCCTTTTTGTTTAAATTCTTTCTTGCAGACAAGTGCATCTTTGAAATTTACAGTGCTGAACCCTAAGGGACGCATCTGGACTATGGTAGCAGGAGGAGGTGCAAGTGTCATTTATGCAGATACAGTATGTTCTCTTTTGTCAATACTCATTGTTTTTAGAATGAAACTTAAGGCCTGTATCTGTAAACTCCTGGCCAGGAATTTAACTTTTTATTCACCACTTAGGTAGGGGATCTTGGCTATGCATCTGAGCTTGGGAACTATGCAGAATATAGTGGAGCACCTAATGAAGAGGAGGTGTTGCAGTATGCTAGAGTTGTAATTGATGTAAGTCTATTATTGTCTTTGTTCTTGGTAGTTGTGTTCCAAGAGTACAAATATTACTCTATTAGAGTTGTTATTGACCATCTAATGCATTGTCTAATATTACTGCATGCTTCAGTTATTTGTAAGATAATAGTAAAATGTAAAACTAGTTGCCCATACTTAGAAAGCATTAGGAGCAGTTAAAATGCTTGCATATACACTCTCAGGCTGGTTTATTCATTTTATTTGATTTTGGCTGTGCAAATAATTTCAACTAATCCCTCTACAGTGTGCAACTGCCGATCCTGATGGTCGCAAGAGAGCCCTTGTCATTGGTGGAGGAATAGCTAACTTTACCGATGTGGCTGCTACATTCAATGGCATAATTCGAGCCTTGAAGGAGAAAGTGAGGCTAACCTCATTTCTTTTTGCTCAGTCTCTTGTATTTATCTTATGATAATGCATACTGAATATGGGGGAAAAAAATTTCAGGAATCAAAGCTGAAAGCAGCAAGAATGAACATATACGTGAGGAGAGGAGGTCCTAATTACCAGAGGGGCCTGGCCAAAATGCGATCACTCGGAGATGAGATTGGTATCCCTATCGAGGTACTGTATTGTATAAATAACACTTAAATATTGAGACATAAATCTTCATCTCTCTATTTATTACTATTAGAAACAAATCAAATAAAAGTTGTTGCTTAATTTCTTTGTTTGTCTTGCAGGTTTATGGTCCAGAAGCAACAATGACCGGCATATGCAAGCAGGCAATTGAGTGCATCACTGCAGCTGCATAAGTTGCCATGATAAACAATCTCGTGTTGTCTTCGCCGTTGCAGGAAGTTTTCAGTAGATTCTAGTTCTGTTTAAATTTGACCAAAAACCTCAGGAAGTAATGTTAGTTCAAACTAATCATCTGTAATGGTTGTGATTTCGGACAGATGGTATTGTCAAACGTAATAAAGAACTCAGAATGTTTTTCTTTCTCATCTCTAGTCTCCCTGCCTTGATAGTTATATTTCTCGATGTCATTTTTTCAAGCTTAGAATAAATTTCTAAGGGCTAACAGTCTCTGCGTGATACAACCCTGTTCAAAATTTTATTTTTCATATTAGAGCTGTTAGGTTTTTACTACGGAAAAAAATATACTTTACCAATTGAGTTATAAGTCTAGAAACACAACTTGTGCGGTAGAAAAATGTAGAAGAAATCTTCCGTGCTTATCTTCTATGATACAACGACACAAATCCGAGACAAAAACTTACTTTGAGTCCCTTATTTTATCAACTTTGAAAGGTTTAGTTCTTTAGCTTATGATACTTTTAACCTTTTATCTTACTAAATTTATAGATTTTAATTCCTTACTTATTAAAATAAAAAAAATAACCTTTATTTTATACTGATTGTTAACTCTATTAATTGAAAGTAGAATTTTGTCAACTAATAGTCAATTAACAGAATTATCGAAATATTATAAAATTAATTCTATTAACTCTATTAATTGAAAGAATGTTTTTATTAACTAACAATCAACTAACAGTTAACTAATACAGTTAACAATTAACTAATAAAACTAACAAAATATTATGAGGTGAGGATTATTTTATTCAATTTTAATAAGTGAGGAGTTAAAAGTGTTGTAGTATAAGATGAGGGATTAAAACCTACACATCTAGTAAAATAAGGGGTTAAAAGTGTCATAATATAAGATAAAGGGTTAAAACCTTTAAATTTGGTAAGATGAGGGGCTAAAAGCAGGCTTTTTCCCAAATGCGACGTGCATCTATGTGTCCACCTGTGTCTCGGACACTCCAAAATTCAACTAATTCTTTGTAATTTCTCTAAGAACTGAAGTTGAGCTGCCACGTATGCGTTGAGAATGACATAGACCCTTATCCAAAATCTCTGATTCGTTTCTCTGGATGAAACAACTTCAATCAAAATTTTGTTGAATTTTCATGCTCTAATCTTAGGGTGGGGTTATTGCCGCATAAGAACTAAGAAGGGTGAAGGTCATCAATATTAATTTTTTTTATTAAATAATGTTTAAAAATATTAATTTATTAATTAAAAAATATTAATTATTTTAATGATTAATAATTATAATTATTAGCTATTATATTTATAAAATTAAACAAAATTAATATTTTAAATATGACATTTTTTTAATTTAATGATCAATAATTATAATTATTAGCTATTGTATTTATAAAATTAAACAAAATTAATATTTTAAATATGACATTTTTTTAATGACTTTAACATTTTACTCTGGCTATATAGCACTACCCCCCTATGTTATTAAACAATCTTGTTGATCTGCTAGGACATTTCTGCTTCATGGGTTGGTTGGTGCAGTTCAGCTAGTGCTAAAATTGAATTTTTCTTGCACAAGTAACATGTTTGTCACGCTATATAGCTTTTCTAAAAGTTTTGTTTGACTATTTCGTATGAATTATATATATATATATATAATCAAAGATTAAAGGTAAAAATCTATTTTATAAGTAGAATACTTAGAGTTTTAGCGTCTAGCCCACTGATAACTAAAAACAATTCAAAAACAATTAAAATTAGTTCTCTCTATCCAAAAACTGTAAGTTCATAAAAGGCTTAAGTTAAAATGTCACTATAACATATTTTTAACGTGTATCTTTTCAATTTTCACCAACAAAAATTTAATTAAGTTGGTATTAATTAATTTAAAATTAAAGGAAAAATTAAAATCTTGTAGGGTTAAGTAACTAATTTCTTCAATGTTAAAAAATATATATAAATATATATATCATTTGTTTAGGATCAATGTCACTTTCCAATTTGGTAAATTTTCACATAAACAAATACGGAAGGTTGGTGACAACTAACATGACCAACTGCGGTTGGGATGGAAAATTAAGATGATGATTTATGAAATGTAGTAGGATCGACTCTTTGACGAAGACCCTCAGAAATTTAGAAATGCGTCCAGAATTTGGATTTCTTCTTCGTGATTTAACTCTAAATTATTCATCGGAGGTCCACCGTCTACGTTGGCAGGCACCGCACCACCTACCACCATTTCCAATCTTTTTCCCATGGGACAAAGAGAGGTAACCAAGTCAATGTTCTTACTTGTTTAATTAATTAATTTTTCAACGTGATACGTGGTAAAAGAAAAACTTTATGTAAACAAAATAATTAATAAGAATTTGGTTGAATTAATATTTATTAATTTAAAATTTTTAATGTAAATTTTAAATTAAAAATTTAAATCTCTATTATGCCAAGCAATTAACCCTCTCCATGGTTTTGGAGCTTGAGATTATCAAATGAATGATTTTATGTTAGAGACCACTAGAAAAGATTGAAGAAGGGAGTAAGTGAAAAATTTAAATAATTTTAAAATTACATAAAAACAAGAGATGGACAAGGAATAGAATACAATGCAAAATTAAAATTGATTACGTAGTACTCAAGTAATTTCACTATTAATTTAGGCTAAGTTTTTTTTTTTCAATTAATATCTAGATTTAGGAAGATTAGGACTTCTAATAATTAAGATGTGATGAATGATAATAAAAAGATTAAAATATTTTTAATAAATCAACACATAAAAAAAATTATTAAAGTTGTCTTTAAAAAAGTGAATTTAAATTTGAATTTGAATTATTTATTTTAAATATATGTATTTGTAAATACACTTTTTAAATACATTAAAATACCATGAATTTAAAATTAAAATTTAAACACACTTCTCCCTTTGGGAAAAGAACGGTTAAAATACCATGAATTTAAAATTAAAATTTAAACACACTTCTCCCTTTGGGCAAAGAACGGTTAAAATACCATGAATTTTGAAATGAATCCACTTCATTTAATTTAGACATTTTAACAAACACATGGCATGCAGGCCATCTATCGCAAACACACTTCTCCTCTTTGAGCATAGAACTGTAAAAACCGACAGCTTTTCGTAAGGGAAGAAGAAAAAAATGATGTTGGGTGATTGAAGAAGATGAGATGAGCATAATTTGCCGGACTCGGATATTTCAGGAGCTTCACTGGGGGAGAGAAATGGAGAAAACGCTGATAGATGTTGAAATACACTGCAAATCCCTAGATAAAGGGGGGGTTTTCAAATACATGCATTTATGCCTTCCAAATACAGGATTCAAGATACACGTATGTGGTTTAAATTCAATTTCACTCTCTTTTTTTTTTTTTTTGAGCGTAGAAATTACAAGTTAAACTTAAATTTATAACAAAAAAATACCAACAACTCTATTCTAGATTATATAGTTGATAGTAAATTCAATTCCACTTTTACATTGTGAAAACAAATTGTATGCTTGAATTTGGATATCTAAATTCAAATACACCATGTTAAAACAAATTACAAATTATTAAATGTATTTTAATAATTTTAAAGAAATTTTTGATATAACTCTTTGTCTCAAAATAAAAAAATATTTTTTATTTAAAATTTGTCCCATAATAATAGTTTTTTTTTATATTTTAAGAAAAATAAATATTTTTGTCTCACTTAAACTTTATAATTGTTCTCAATTTAAATTATTTTTCTTATCATAAAAGATTTTTTTAAAGGTAAAAATATGTAAAAATAAGAATCATACTCAAATCTTTAATTTAAAGATAAATTTTTTTAAAAAAAATCTATTATTTTAAGACAAAAAAAAAGATATTTTAAATCAACAATTTTATAATTATAATATTATATAAAATTATAAGTTTATAATTATGATATGGTATTAAATAAATATAAAGTGATATTAAATATATGAATATATATAATATCACAAATGAATTTATAAATAAAAAATTAATTATATTTTAAATATAATATAATATTAAACGAATAAATATATAACATTATAAATAAATTTTTAAATAAAAAATAATTATATAATAATATATGATATTATAAATTTATAATATCCTATAAGATTATAATTATAATATTAAAATTTTTAAATATTAAAATATTTTAATTTTCTCTTTTTTCAACCGAACTAACCGATGTAGTGAGTTAGTAAATCCACTTTCTTTGAAAATGAAGGATATAAACTCATACAAGACGGCTCATAAAGATAGAGCCTGCCACCTAGTCGGGCCAATGGTATTTGTGTGGTTTTGTTGGAAAACCATTTTCTCTTATTTTTTTATCTTATGGTGGCGGCATTTTAAAATTTAATATTTGAAGAAAAATGTGATTACTTTTTTTATTCCTCCATCATATTTACCAACTCCCCAAATACAATAATATAACCATTGTTCTTCCTCCCTTGATCCTAGGATTCTAAGTCCGCATTGCCCACCGATATTCGGAATTAAACGAGAAAATTTTGAAGAAGTGGAAGAAAGGATCCATCCATGGCTGAAGAGCAAAAGCTTCAGATGGAAAGAGAAGAAGTTGCCGTTCATGGTGACCTACTTGAAGCTATTTTCTGTCACGTCCCTCTTGTTCACCTCCTGCCTGCCTGTGACGTCTCTAAATTCTGGAACCGCGCCGTTTCCTCTTCTCTCCGCCACTTCAACCGCCCCAAGCCGTGGTTCATCGTCCATACTCAGCGCTCACGGCCTCCTTACGCCATCGCTACTTATGCCTACGACCCGCGCTCCAACCTCTGGCTTAAAATCCACCACCAAACCCCGATTCAACACGTCTCCAACCTCCGCTCCGCCCACTCAACCCTCCTTTACATGCTTTCCCCCTCCAAGTTTTCTTTCTCCTTTGACCCGCTACATCTTAAGTGGCACAGCGTGGACCCACCTCGTGTCTGGCGCACTGACCCTATAGTCGCTGTGTTGGGTCACCACGTCGTTGTTGCCGGCGGCGCCTTTGACTTCGAGGACGATCCCCTGGCGGTGGAGGTCTACAACCTCAAGACTCGAAGTTGGGACACGTGCCAGTCCATGCCCGCCGCACTGAGACACTCGGCAGCCCCCACCTGGCTCTCAACCGCCGCGAATGAAAATAAGATGCTCGTGATGGAGAAATCATCCGGTGTCGGGTACTCCTTCGATCCCAATTCCAAGATCTGGTATGGACCGTATGATCTTCGTCCTGATGGGGGTATTTACTCTTCCGTCATCGGATTTTGCGGGGACCGATTGATTCTGGTGGGTTTAGTCGGGGAGCCAGAGAAAGTGACGGATGTGAAATTATGGGAATTTTCCGGCGAAGAATTGGAGTTTCGTGAGCAGATCGGGGTGATGCCGGAGGGGATGCTGAAGAAGATGATAGGAGAGGGGATGCGGGTGAGCTCTATAGGTATGTGTTCGACCGGCGATTTTCTATTCCTTCACAATCCTGAGGATCCCGCGGAGGTGGTGGTGTGTGAGATCGTCGGTGAAGGTGCCTACCAGTGGCGGAGCGTAAAGAATGCGGTGGATAGTGACGAAAGTAGACTGGCAGAAAGAGTGATTTTTACGTGCTCCGCCGTGGGGTTGGGCGATATGCGCCGGGCATTCGGGTCCGAGAGACGGAGCTTCACAGTTCTAAACCGTTGATGGTGATTACTACTGTTGGTGCTCCCGTCATTCATCATCATTTGCTACATCATCTCTTCTTTTTTTTTTCTCTTTTTTTTAACAATTTTTTAGAACTCCTTTTGTACAGACAATTTCTTATTTCTTTGTCTTAAAATAATAATAATTGTCATGATTTTTTTAAAATTAAAGATTAAAAGAAGATTTACGTTCTTATCAATATTATTTTTTCAAAAATAAAAAAAAATTACTTTTGTAATAATATAAATAATTAAAATTAAGTAATAGCAATAAAGTTAAAATTTATATCAATATTATTTTTTCAAAAATAAAAAAAATACTTTTGTAATAATATAAATAATTAAAATTAAGTAATAGCAATAAAGTTAAAATTTAAAAAGTATTTATTTTTTCAAATATAAAAAAGTTAATTTAAATTAAATTCTAAATAAAAAACTAATAATGTGTGATACAGTGAGTATTTGCTTAATATTGCAAGAATTTGAATCTTTATTATTAATAAAAAAAAATTAAAAAAAAAAACACCATGAGCTCTTGTATATATGTATTGTAATATCATGTTTTTAAATTTCAATATTTCAAACAATAAAGCATGCTTCATAGAAGATTAATCATTTCCTTTATAGGTTAAAAAAAAAATTGAACAAGGGAAGGAGTGAGTATCCACTTAGCATTGCAAGGATTTCAACTTTCAGTATCAATAAAAAGAAAAAAAGAAAAAAGAAAAGTTCCAAGGCTCTTTTATGTATTGCAATATCATGCTACTAAATTTCAATCTTTCACACAATAAAGCATGCTTCATAGACTAGTAATAGTTTCCTATATGGGAAAAATATTTTTTTTTGTTAAACTCCCATTTGGTCCCTTAACTATTATACGGACCTTTGATTGAGTCCCTCAACTCAAAAAATCCCTGATTTGGTCCTTACTGTTTCTCATTTTAGCCCTAACTTGGTCCTTTCATTAATTTTTCCATGTTAATTGATGGAAAAATCATTACGAATTTAAAATTTTCACACCAAAGATTGAGAGCACTACTAGAAAACATAAAATCACCGACCAAAAATCACTGATGTAAGACGATTTGTTGGTGAACTAATAATTTACCAACTAAAAGAAAGTCTGTAAAGTGAGAAACAATAGTATCAAAATTAATTTATATTATTTTACTTTCAAAGGAGGACTTTTTCAATAAATTTAGACAATACACATGCGTCTTTTTTCGGTAAGACATATAAATATTCTCTCCCTTAGCTCCGACAACTTTTTTGGTACAATGGATAGAGAGTTTGAAGATCGACGATGGTTTCGTCGATAACTTCAAGTTCATGCAACAACAACCTTGTTGGTAAGTTGCAAAGATATTGTACTATTTACTCAGGCAGCTTTTCAAGTGAGTGAGCAGTTTTTTGTTGGTAAGTTTGTTTAAAATTTTCACACCAAAGATTCAAAGCTTGGCAAAAACAAATGACATGGACAAAGTTTTTGTCTACGTAATTCCAACTCATCCTACCAAGAAAAAAAAAATCCTTTTTTTTTTCCCTCTCTTTCCCCTTTCTCTTTCTCTTTCCTCCTCCCTTTCAACTTTTACTGGGTTCTTGTCATTGGGTTTGATGGAACCCAATAAATCTACTAGGTTTTTTTTTTTTCCTCTCTTTCCTTTTTCCCTTTCAACTTCGGCTAGGTTCTTTCAACCTAGCAAATCTGCTAGGTTCTCGAACCTATTAGCTTTGTCGGGTTCTTTCAAACCTAGCAAATCTGTTGGGTTCGATGGAAACCAACAGATATGCTGGATTTTGATTAGTCTAGGTTTTTCTTCTTCTTATTGTTTGATTTTTTGTCTTTGTTTTAGGTGCTTTAGTTAGGTTTTTGTAGAAATTCGAGAAAAAATACCTTGATTTTTTTGGGTTTTTTTAGAAGGCTAAGAAGGCCAGTGACTATTTTGGGGAGATTCTGGGTTTATGTTTGTGTTATGGTTGGATTTGATGTTAAAAGGTGTCTAGGTTTGTAAAAAGTGAAAAGGAAGGAATAGCAAGAAGGAAAGGAAAAAGGAAAGACAAAGAAAGCTAAAAATAAGGGTTCAATTTCAAACCCAACAGTTACTGGGTCGAAGAAACCCAACATGTGTTGGGTTCGATTTCAAACCCAGAATTGAACCCAGCAACTGTTGGGGTTCTTTAGTGAGTTTGAAAAGTGGTGATGAAAGTGGACTCGAAAGAAAAATATTGATGAATTAATTGTTTGAGTTAGAAAATTAGTGATGAAAATGGACTTGAAGGAGGCAAAGAGAGAGAAAAAGAAGAATGAATGAAGAAGATTTGATGAAGAAGATTTGATAAAGAGGATGTTGGAGGAAGAAGATGAGGGTAAAATTGTAATTTTAAATGAATTAAATAATTATATTTTGACACATCATTTATTTATCCATACTGTTAAGCTAATGTGTCACAATATTTTGACATGTCATCGAGCTCTTGTGAGTTAACAGGACATGTAGGTGGATTTTAATGAAAGGACCAAGTTGGGGCTAATATGGGAAACGGTAGGGACCAACTTAGGGATTTTTGAGTTGAGGGACTCAATCGAGGGTTTATACAATAGTTGAGGGATAGAATGGGGGGTT